ATGGCAGTGATTTTAGTTTGTTTTGCTTTGGTTTATTTTAATTCTGGTAAAGAGAAATGGAGTAAATAGAGGAAGTAAGAGTGGTATCAATAGAGGGTAAGCAGAGGAGGAGTCAAAAGAAAAGGTTGCTCTAGAACTAAGACACCCTGCCTGGGAGCTCCAGTTGCCAAGATCCTTTCCTACCACACCAATTATGATTGGGATACCCATGAATGAGGGTAAAAAGTCTCCAGTCATCACCCATTCTCCTTGGAAATATTTGTGATTTAATACAAGAGTGGAGAAGTGAATTTGGGACATGGCCTGTGACTTTCTGGAAAACCCCAAGTACCTACTTACTAAATGATAATTCTCTATAGTCAGGAGTTCTGGTGGTGTAGTGGTTTAAGTATTTGGCTACTAACCAGAAGGGAGGAGGTTCAAACCCACCAGCCATTCTGTGAGAACAGACTTAGCTACTCTGTCACACAGTGTCACAATGAGTTGGAATTGATTCAATGGCAGTTGTTTTTGGTTTTGGGGACAGCCACCAGTCTAACTTTGCATTATTCAAAATCTATGGCAGGTATAAGGCACTTATTAGGATGGCTGTAACACAATCCCAAATGTATGAGGATTTTTATTCTGGGATTGTGATTTTCTAAATCTCAAAATTTTAGAGCACTGTAAAATCTCTTCATTTTACTTCTTCTAGATTTTCATGCTGCATTTTCAAGTGAAGCAATTTAGAATAAAATGACTATGCATCTATTTTGTGTGTGGAGTCTATACTGCCTATCACATCTTTGACATTCCAGAGCTTGCATTGGTTAATAAAAAACTCTTTCTGCCATGAGCCCCAAATTGGAACCATTAACATTCAGAGCTGTCCTCAACAGTCATGTTGAGTCTGTGCTGAGTTATATAAGCCAAGACTGGTAACATTTTAAATGTGTCAGCTAGGAATTTTAAAAATAATAATCAAACTATTAATTTGATGGACAATATATCTTAAGTTGCTTTCTTGAACTTAACCAAACTTTTGTTTCTACCACTCAAGTATGATAGTATATGTCATTAAACCCACTACTCTCAAGTAAATTCTGACTCATAACAACCCAGTAGGACAGAGTCGTACTGCCCCATAGGGTTTCCAAGGCTGTACTCTTTATGGAAGCAGACAGTCACACCTTTCCCTTGTGGAGTGGCTCATGGGTTCAAACCACAGACTTTTTGATTAGAAGCCTAGTGCTTCAACCACTGCACCACCATTACATATATTTAAGACCACTAGGATATAATTCCATGATATTCACAAGTCAAAATGTTAATTTCACAGTTTAATATCTTTCCATAGAGGACCTTGAGAAAATTATTGTGTGATCCATGAAATGCTTCCTTCAAAATGCAGATTGTGTTCATAGCATATGCAATCAAATGGACTCTTTATTTTCTTCACTACTTAACTTTGTTGATTCTGCTTTGCTTATTTACTTGATCTGTAATCAGAAATAGTATTCTTCCCATACTGATCAAGGGTTTACATTTTATGCATTTTTAGAAGTGCTAAGACAAAGTATCACTAAAGCTATTTGAGCCCTAATAGCTTTAAAATCAAACATAAGAACCATCTGGACTTACAGTGAATAGAGAAACATAAAGAAACATAGGAAATATTCTCAACAGTGGCTAAATATCTTCAATAGTGATGAACATTGGGGTAGATTACTATAAACTATGTTGGTGATAATATTATTTTCTCAGTATATATTTTTCTGTTATCAAAAAAA